TCGCAAAACTTGACTCAGGCACATAACCAGAAAGATTCAAAGCAAGATATAAGTGATTTTATCATTAAAAACTTTAAAAGCGTTATTGAAAGGGACGAATTTTTGACAATAAATAAAGGACTTGTGTGCCTTTATCTCCAAAGTTTCAAATGAAGTCTTAAAGTGGAATGCTGCTACAAGTGGTAAAAGTAGAAGAACCGTGAAAAAAATTTGTTGATCTATTAAGATTAATCAGTTAGAGGAATTATCAAATGATTTTATCAGAGAAAACGTTAAAACAGAGCCTCTTATGAATGAGTCCATGGAATGTAAAGATTTACTGATAGATGCTATGCTTGAAACCAGGAGTGAAAATTTAGAGATACAGAAACATTTCTGCAGGAAGTAGAAGAGTCAAATGAAATTGATGAAAATGAGGGACCCCCAGCTTACTTTGTGGTACTTCGTGAAGAAAGTCGCATCTTCATTAAATTTAACTGCAACAAAAAGATTGGTCACAGATTGTGAGAATACAAGATGTGTATCTACGAGAAAAACCAGATATCATTTCAATAAACAACACTATTTATTTGCTCCATGGAAAATATTTGAGAAAATTGAATGGCAAAGAATGGATAAATTTGGCATCCATGTCTCATGAGCCTTCCTATTTCAGATGTGTTACTTTCAAAGGCTTCATATATGTCATTGACAGATGGAAAACTTCGTCATATAGCCTAGAAGAAAATACATGGACTGAATATTTAGAAGGTTGTTGGGTGGGGCGAGGATTTGCAGTTACAACGTCAGATTCATACATTTATGCGATGGGAGGTGAAGAAACAAGTAAATAAGCTGAAGAATTTGACATAAACACGAAAAAGTGGGAACCAATTACAAGCATGAGGGGTTCGAAACATTTCTGTTCAGCAATATGGTTCAATAACAACATCTGTGTTCTTGGCGGTTATAGCGCTTTGAACTCAAAGGGATATTATGTTGGTGGTAACTCATCCTCTGAAGCTTATACAGATTCAGTCGATAGCTGGAGCAGCATAAACGGCTGGAATTTAGATAAACAAAACACCAAGGCATTCATCATAAAACAGGAAATTTATCTGATTGGTGATAGCAAACTATGTAACAGTGCTATTCTTGTCAGGTGGAAAATACGAGATGAAAAATATAGATGTTGGTGGGAATTGCTCTCTTATCGCATGTCTAATTTATGAATGAATAAAACCTGATTGGGAAATCATTTTGATATGATTCTTTTAATTGAATAAAAACAATTTAATATACGGTAGTATAAAGCAGTGGTGGCCACCTGTCTTTGATTGAGATAGACTGAAATCTTCATAATTCCATGCAATCAATGATACTGGTCAACGATAAAGTCTTAAAGAAAAAGAATCAGTACCACAAACCTTTATCAATTAATTTTCAATAAATAATATTAATAATTTTCTGACGATTCTCGAAAAAAAGGCAAATAGCTGTTTTGTAGGTTCACTCAGTAACATCTCTGATTTGGAGTATTAAATAAATCAAGTTCTGAAAACTGACTTCAAAAAATATCAGGGCAAGAAACAGCAGTACTGGCACTGTTGCATCAGGATCATCTGATTTTGATTAGCCTGTTCGGTGCGAAAGCTCGATAGCAAACACACTTATATTGGTTTAGTAATAAGGTGCTACATCAGGTTTTGACTTTTGTTCCAACAAATTTAGTTAAGTAATATGGTACTTATTTTTAGAACACAAAACAGTAGTGAATACTGATTAAATGCATCAAATACAGCATCAAATATCTATATCTTATAATGTCAAAGGGCTATCAGGAATTGTTTAATAACAGCAATATTATTATTGAGTTTTTCTAACACTTTGAAGTGCATGTTAATTTCACTGTTTTTTCTATATGTTTAGCAAAGTTCATCGTTTCATAAAATAAACATAGAAGCATATTATCGTTTGTATACTGTATTATTTCAAGTCAAATATCATGTTAATTCATTATTTGATAAGTCCAAACAGACATCTGGAGTAAAGTTACTCTACAAATCCAAGCTGTGATTGGTTATGAATTAATATTACCTAGCTCAGCGATTCAAAACCATTTTGATGGTTCTTCTATCAATCAAAAAAATTGATTCCACTCTTGTATATATTTATTCGAGATAGATAAAAGACACTTACCGGTACTTATTTTTTCAATTAAAATTCACTGCAAAAGTTTTTTCAATATTTTTGAGCTATGGAGAATCTGAGGAACAGTTGGTTATGGGGCACAATGCATGTTACTGCAACATCGCTTTTTTTTCTACTTTGCATCACCGGCCTAAAATTGTAAAGTATCGTTTCGCAGGAATTAGAAAATGTAGAAGGCCTCACTGAAGATAAATACCTACCTGGTTAATAACAATTAACTTTGGGCTAAGGTACAAATAAATTATCATACAATGTCAGACACCATATTTTATATTGTCGATTTGATACAAATATACCTTTCGGAATTCTGTTGAGATAAAGAACCTCACAATCCAATAAACAACTAGTGTAGGTTTTATTGCAGTATAAATATTTTATCAGATTATGGATATAGGATTCACAGATATTACACAACTTCATCAAGAATCATCGAAAAATGAAAACTAAATAATTGCTAAACCATAAAATTCATATTTAAAAGGGACAGACAGAAGATACAGAAAGGCCCACTTGTGACGTGAGAGGCTCGGTGCAAGACAACAAACAACCATAATCAGATATTTTCTTCTAATGAGTGCCCCCTAGTTAACTAGTATGAATGAAGTGTGAAGTGCATATTATCAAGCAGACACATTATTGAAAAATACAGTTTGTATCAGATTAACATAGTTTATCTGAGACATAGTGAACCAGAATCAGACTTCATTGCAGTAATTGAATTACTAATCTTTTTGGCCTTATATCAAATTTACGGTAACCATTTTGTTGTCATCTTTACATTTCACAAATAATGTGTTGTCAGTCGCTAATGCCTCCAAATAAAATGCTTTAAGATGCCATATGACGAAGTCATCTCCAAATTTTGTCCATTAATTTGTAGAGGTATAAAACTCAATAGAAGTATGTTGAGAATAACCTCCCATCAATAAGCCACCAACAGCAAATATTCTGACAGGTAAATAGGAAGCAGCTGCTCCACCATTACAACGTTCACACAACATATCATGAATCCTATCCCAATCCTCATCAAATTCTTCAGCTTGCTTCTCCGTACCTTTCCCACCAAGAGCATAAATACGATCAGAAGATGCAGTGACTATAACCCTTTCTCCTAGTTGATGGCCCTCCTGTTCCTCAACCCAAGTATTCATTTCTGGAATGAATTTTGAGATTTTTTCCGGCTCAATCAGGACTATACAACCTTTGAAAGTCACACATTTATAGTTGGAAGGTTCACTTTTCAAGTTTGCTAAATTTTTCCACATTCCACCGGAAAATTTTATCAAACTTTGTTTGTGGAAAACGTATATCTCTTTGTCAATGCAAACGACATCCATATGACCTTCTGAGAATTCTTTGGGTATTTTTGTAATCTTGGATACTTTATATCTTTGGCAATTAATATTATACAACATTCTACCATGTTTTGGTAACAAGACAATGTGAGGAACTGGTTTACGGGAACCAGATTCTGCAGCTGATTTGTTACAGGTGCCAAAGCAATATCCAACTGATTTCTTTCGTTTTTCAAAGTGTGAATTGACTTACTTAACACATTTATCAAATATGCTCTACAATCCTCAGATTCTTTCATTAGAGGTTCAGTTTGAACTTAGTTTTTGACAAAATCCTTCGGTAAATCAGCAAGACTAATGACATGCAGAAGACGAAGAAACATTGAAGTACCATTTTTCATAGCGCCAGATAAGGAATTCATATACTTCTGAATTTCACCTGAAGATTTTTTCTGGAAATCTTCTGTCGATGTCATTTTATCAAAATTTTCAGAAATGTATTTCTCGAATTGTTTTTGAGAATTTACATGATGATATTTTTGAGCCAAATCCTCGTAGAAAAAACAGTTTCTTAGATCAAAATTTTCTGTCAAATTCTCGAAATACATGTCAGAAAGCTCTGTCAGATTGAAAAGCTCTGACACATGAATAAGAAATTCAGGAGAATTAGTGGAAAACAGCATTTTTCGTGTATAAATGAATTTTACACATTTTTTGACAGATTCTGGATTCACATCTCGTGACTCAACAAACCCATCTTTTCTTTCTTTACTATTGTGAGACAACATTTTATCAAAATAGGATGAGGATGCTGCAATAACATTTCGATGAACATGGATTTTATCATCTCCAACTTTGATTATAAAGTCACAATACTTTTCTTCTTGCCTTTGCTTTTCTAATATTATCAGAAGATCCTGGGATCGACTTTTATTTTCTCTTCCATTTGCATATATTTATTTACCCAACTACTTTTGGATTGCTTTAGGAAATGCTTATCTATACATAAAATAAACTTGTTAACTTTTGCTACATAGAACCCAAAATATTTTTATTGAAAGCAGCGGTAAGGCAAAAAAGCATATTAGGAGTGATAAATATTTAGTCTTATTATTTTGTCCCTAACTCAGATTATAAAGCAGATATCAAAAAAGATCATCCCGATACTCATTTAACAACAGTTAACAAACAAAAAAGTACTGTGGAAACACTCCTGCATGATACCAAAGTACCGGTTACCTTAATATTGACTTAATTGTGCAAACACACTCAGGTATTTATCATTCTGACAGTCAAGAAAATAAAACCAACAATAATCAGCAATAGGAAGCGTTGTGTTGTGGATTCGACAATGTAGCTACCATTCTTGCTGAAACAGCCATATATCTAAATCTGGTTTAATTGCGCAAATAGATGTGTAAGAGTAACAGATATCTTGAGTGATATTTTGACAACCATGACAGTTAAAGAATAGAGAAATTTGATCAATAATCAAGTTGATTACAACCAACAATCATGGGTGAAGAGAAAGAAAGCAAAACATATTCAAAAAATCTTTTATCTTCATTAAGAGGGCAACAGATTGAAACAAATTATTGTGATTTCATGATCAAAATTGAAAAAGAGGAATTTTCTGTTCATAGAAATATTCTTGCTGCAGCTTCATCTTATTTTGATGAAATGTTATACAATGATACAGAAGAAAGGCAGAATGGTTATGTGGAAGTCAATGACTTAGACCTAGATGTGGTGAAACAGTGTGTTGATTTTATATACACTGGTAAAGTTGTACAAACAATAGATAACATAGAAAACCTGATTTTTGCTGCAGATTTGTGGAAACTATGCGACCTCGTTGATACATGCTTCGAATATTTGTTGGATAATATGAGTGTTGAAAATTGTATACAGTTTGCAAACTTGACTCAGGCATATAACCATAAGAATTCAAAGCAAGAAATAAATGATTTCATCATTAAAAACTTCAAAAGCGTTACTGAAAAGGACAAATTCTTGGCAATAAATAAAAAAGACTTGTGTGCCATCATCTCCAAAGTTTCAAATGAAGTCTTAAAGTGGAATGCTGCTATAAAGTGGGTAAAAGTAGAAAACCGTGAAAAAGAATTCGTTGATCTATTGAAATTAATCAAGTTGGAGAAATTATCAAAAGATTTTATCAGGAAAAACGTTAAAACAGAGCCTCTTATGAATGAGTCCATGGAATGTAAAGATTTACTGATAGATGCTATGCTTGAAACCAGGAGTGAAAATTTAGAGATACAGAAAACATTTCTGCAGGAAGTAGAAGAGTCAAATGAAATTGATGAAAATGAGGGACCCCAGCCTTACTTTGTGGTACTCCGTGAAGAAAGTCGCATCCTTCATAAATTCAACTGCAGCAAAAAAGATTGGTCACAGATTGTGAGAATACCAAGATATGTATCTGAACAAAAACCAGACATATTTTCAATAAACAACACTATTTATTTGCACCATGGAAAATATTTGAGAAAATTGAATGGCAAAGAATGGATAAATTTGGCATCTATGTTACATGAGCCTTCCTATTTCAGATGTGTTACTTTCAAAGGCTTCATATATGTCATTGAAGGATGGAAAACTTCGTCATATAGTCTAGAAGAAAATACATGGACTGAAGATTTAGAAGGTTGTGGATTGGGGCGAGGATTTGCAGTAACAACATCTGATTCATATATCTATGCAATGGGAGGTGAAGAAACAAGTAAACAAGCTAAAGAATTTGATCCCAATTTAAAAATATGGGAACCAATTAAAAGCATGGACACCTCAAAACATTTCTGTTCAGCAACATGGTTTGATGAGAAGATCTATGTACTTGGAGGTTATAGGTCTTTGAACAGATATGGACATATTGATTCTTGGTCATCCTCTGAAGTTTATACCAATTCAGTCGATACCTGGAGCAGCCTGTATGAATGGAATCTGACAAAACCTAACATCAAGGCATTTATAGTAAAACAGGAAATTCATCTGATTGGTGATAGCAACTATGTAACAGTGCTATTCATGTCAGGTGGAAAATATGAGATGAAAAATATAGATGTTGGTGGGAATTGCTCTCCTATCGCATGTCTAATTTATGAATGAATAAAACCTGACTGGGAAATCATTTTGATATGATTCTTTTAATTGATTAAAAACAATTTAATATAGTATAAAGCAGTGGTGGCCAACATGTCTTCGATTGAGATCGACTGAAATCTTCATAATTCTACGCAATCAATGATACTGGTCAATGATAAAGTCTTAAAGGAAAAGAATCAGTACCACAAACCTTTATCAATTAATTAATCTTTTTCTGACGATTCTCGAATCCTAAGTTCAAAATGACTAGAAAAAAAAGGCGAATAGCTGTTTTGTAGGTTCACTCAGTAACATTTCTAATTTGGAGTATTAAATAAATCAAGTTCTGAAAACTGACCTCAAAAAATAGCAGGGCAAGAAATAGCAGTACTGGCACTGTTGCATTAGGATCGGCTGATTTTGATTGGCCTGTTCGGTGCGAAAGCTCGATAGCAAACACACTTAGGTATATTGGTTTAGTAATAAGGTGCTACATCAGGTTTTGACTTTTGTTCCAACATATTTAGGTAAGTATTTTAGTACTCCTTTTTAGAACACGAAACAGTAGTGAATACTGGATAAATGCAATTATTTCGAAAAAGTTATCAAGATCGTGATTGGCATGTTGGGCACCTCTGATAGCCTATACAGCATCAAATACCTATATCTTATAATGTCAAAGGGCTATCAGGAATTGTTCAATAACAGCAATATTATTATTGGCTTCTCTGAAATAGATTTTTCTAACCACTTTGAAGTGCATGCTAATTCTACAGTTTATTTCTTATATGTTTAGCGAAGTTCAGCGTTTCATAATATAAACATAGAAGCATATTATCGATATACACTATATTATTTCAAGTCAAATATCATGTTAAATTATTATTTGATAAGTCCAAACAGAGATCTGGAGTAAAGTTACTCTACACAGCCAAGTTGTGATTGGTTATGAATTAACAATACCTGGCTCAACGATTCGAAACTCTTTTGCTGATCTTTCTACTTTTCTGAAGATTTTTCAATCATCAGATACAAATAACTACAAAAAAATCAGTGAATGGCCGTTTCATAGGTTCACTCAATAACATCTCTGATTTAAAGTATTAAATATATCAAGTTCCGAAAACTGACTAAGTCACGATTTGTCTCTATATCATCAAAAAATAGCAGGGCAAGAAATAGTAGTACTGCCACTTTTGCGTTAGGATCAGCTGATTTTGATTGGCCTACTCGGTGCAAACGCTCTATAGCAAACACACTTATATTGGTTTAGCTACATCAGATTTAGTCTTTTGTGCATATGTATCTAGTCCATTATCGTATTACTTCTTTTTAGAACACAATACAGTTGTGAATACTGGTTAAATGCAATTTTTAGAAGTTATCAAGATCCCGATTGGCATGTTTGCCATCTCTGGTATCAAATATCTGTAACTTTCAATGTCAAAGGGCAATCAGGAATTGTTCAATAACAGCCCTATAATTATTCGCTTTCCTGAAAAGGATTTCTCTAACCACTTTGAAGTGTATGTTAATTCTTTTACAGGTTATTTAGTATATGTTTACCTTTTTATAAAATAAACGTAGAAGCCTATTATCGATTGTATTCTGTATTATTTCAAGTCAAACAGCATGTTAATTTATTATTTGATCATTTATATTTTGATTATTTGTCCAAACAGAGATCTGTAGTAAAGTTACTCTACAAAGCCAAGCTGTGATTGGTTATGAATTAACATTACCTAGCTCAGCGATTCAAAACCCTTTTGCTGGTCCTTCTATTATTCAAAAAAATTAATTCCCCACTTGTATACATTTATTCAAGATAAATAAAAGACGCTGACTTATTAGTTTCAATCAAAATTAACTGCATAATTTGTTTTTATTATTGAACAATGCAGGTTACTTACAACATCGCATACTTTTTTACTTTGCATCACTGGCCTAAATTGCAAAGTATCGTGTCACACGAATTAGAAATTGTAGAACGCCTCACTGAAGATAAATACCCACCTGGTTAAGAACGATTGACCTAACTACTTTTGGCCAAGGTACAAATAAATTAACATAAATTATCATTTAATGTCATTCACCATATTTTATATTGTCGATATGATATTCATACAACTTTCTGAATTCGGTTGATGCTAAAAAACTCAGATTAACCACTAGTGCAGGTTCTCTTGCAATGTAAACATTTTACCAAATTATGGATATAGAATTCACAGATATTACACAAACTCATCTAGAATCATTGAAAAATGAAGACTAAATAATTGCTAAACCATAAAATTCATATTTACAAGGGACAGACAGACGATACAGAAAGGGCCACTTGTGACGTGAGAGGCTCGATGCCGGGTAATCAGACAACAAACAACCATAATCAGATATTTTCTTCTAATGAGTGCTCAATCGTTAACTAGTATAAACGAAGTGTGAAGTGCATATTATCAAGCAAATACTGCATCAAATTACTATAGTTTATCAGAGACAGAGTGAACCAGAACTTCATTGCAGTAATTGAATTACTGATCTTTTTGGCTTATATATTGAATATAAACATTTTGTTGCCATCTTTACATTTCACAAATAATGTGTTGTCAGTCGCAAATGCCTCCAAAATAAATGCTTCTAGACCAGTGATCGTCAACTGGGTGTATAATACACCTCAGGATGTACCACATTTATAGGGTGTACCATAGCGTATGTTGTAAAGTACACACTAACACACGATATGCTATTTAAATGCGCTGAAAATGGCAATATCTATCTAACCTATACATGTTAACTTATGCACAATGTATATCTGGCATTTTCTGATATCTTTTTATCCTAACGACATAACACTTTTTTAGCAGTTCGATACCTTGTTAACACTACTAATAAAATACTGGGAAGTGTCTGACACAGAACGAAAAAAAATGATAGAATGTTGTTTCGTCTGTTTTTTTTAATATTATGTGTGGACAGGTCAATTCTGTTGTTATTGTGGTAATAATTTCAAGCAGAACATACATAAACTCAAATCGAATACATTCCACATAACTCCATCAATATCCATGTTTATTAATTGTTGAACATAACATATTGAACGTAAAAAACATTATACAATTATATAGCCTTCGGGATATAATTCAGCAGCAGTTGTTATTTAGTTGTTTCTAAGATTATTTCAAAAAGGTATGCAATCAGAGGCATATGGTAAGCCTGGCATCTACATTTATATGATAGGGTGTTACATACTTCAAGCAGTAAACTCATTTATTTATTCTAGATATTTGAAATGTTTACATAGAATTAAAATGACAAAAAACTAAGATAACAATAATTAACCATATTCAATGTATAAAATTCATATTTACAAGGGACAGACAGCTGATACAGAAAGGCTCACTTGTGACATGAGAGGATCGATGCAGGGTAATCAGACAACAAACAACCATATATAAATATTTTCTTCTAATGAGCACACGCTAGTTAACTTGTATGAATAAAGTGTGAAGTGGACCTTATCAAGCAAATAAATCATTGATAAGTATAGCATATATAGCTTACTATATTTTATCTGAAACAGAGTGAACCAGAATCAGACTTCATTGCAGTAATTGAATTACTAATCTCTTTGGCTTTAATATCGAATTTAACCATTTTGTTGGAATCTCTATTTTTCACAAATAATGTGTTGTCAGTCGCGAATGCCTCTAAATTGAATGCCGTCACATCATTCGAATTTCTAAATTTTGTCCACTGATTTGTAGAGGGAGTATAAAACTCAATAGAAATATATTGATCAAACGAGCGCCCCAACAATAAGCCACCGACAGCAAATATTTTGATAGGTGAACATGAGGCAGCTGCTCCTCCATTACAATGTTCACTCAACATATCATCAATCCTGTCCCAATCCCCATCAAATTCTCTAGCTTGCTTCTCAGTACCTTTCCCACCAAAAGCATAAATATGATCAGGAGATGCAGTGACCATGACCCCTTCCCCTAGATGATGGCCCTCTTCTTCCTCAACCCAAGTATTCGTTTCGGGGATGAATTTTGAAAGTTTTTCAGACTCAATCACAAATATACAACCGTTGCAGGTCACACATTTAAAGTTTGACGGTTCACTTTCCAAATTTGCTAAATTTTTCCACATTCCACTGGAATATTTTATCAAACTTTGTTTGTGCAAAACGTATATCTCTTTGTCGATGCAAACGACATCTCTATGACCTTCTGCAAACTCTCTTGGTATTTTTGTAATCCTGGATAATTCAGATGTTTGGCAATTAATGTTATACAACATTCTACCATGTTTTGGTAACAAGACTATGTGAGGAACTGGCTCACAGAAACCAGATTCTGCAGCTGATTGTGTTACTGGTGCAATAGTGATATCAAACTGATTTTTTTCATTTTTCAAAGTGTGAATAGACTCACTTAACACATTTATCAAATATGCTCTACAATCCTTAGATTCTTCCATTAAAGGTTCAGTTTGAACTTGGTTGTTGACAAAATTCTTCGGTAAATCAGCAAGACTCATGATATGCAGAAGATGAAGAAACATTGAAGTACGATTTTCCTCGTCTGCTTTGACCCATTTGACAGCAGCTTTCCACTTTAAAATTTCTCCTTCTCCATGAGCACCAGATAAGGAATTCATATACTTCTGAACTTCACTTAAAGATTTTTTCTGGAAATCTTCTGTCGATGTCATTTCATCAAAATTCTCAGAAATGTATTTATCAACCTGTTTTTGAGAATTTACATGATGATATTTTTGAGCCAACTCCTTGTAATAAAAACAGTTTCTTAGATCCAAATTTTCTATCAAATACTCAAAATACATGCCAGAAAGCTCTGTCAGATTGAAAAGCTCCGACACATGAATAAGAAATTCAGGAGAATTAGTGGAAAACAGCACTTTTCCGGTATAAATAAATTTTACACATTTTTTGACAGATTCTGGATCTACATCTTGTAGCTCAACAAACCCATCTTTTCTTTCTTTACTATTGTGAAACAACATTTTATCAAAATAGGATGAAGATGCTGCAATAACATTTCGATGAACATGGATTTTCTCATCTCCAACTTTGATTATGAAGTCACAATACTTTTCTTCTAGCCTTTGCTTTTCTAATATTATCAGTAGATCCTGGGATCGACTTTTACTTTCTCTTCCATTTGCCATATTTTCTCAACCAACTGTTTTTGTTGGATTGCTTTTGGAAATGCTTATCTATACATATAATTTAACTTGGTAAATTTTGCTATATCGAACCTAATTTTTTTTTATTGAAAGCTGCAGCAACGCAAAAAAAGAATAGTAAAAGTATTATAAATATTTAGTCCTTTTATCATTTTTATAAATATTTATCATTTGTCCCTAACTCAGATTATGAAGCAGATAATAAGAAAGATCATTCCGATACTCATTTAACAACAGATCAAAAACAAAAATGCACCGTGGAAACACTCCTGCATGATACCAAAGTACCGGTTACTTCAATATTGATTTAGGTACTTAAATGTGCTAACACACTCAAGTATTTATCACTCTGACAGTCGAAGTAATAAAACCAACAATAATGAGCAATGGGAAGCTTTGTGTTGTGGATTCAACAATGCAGCTACCATTCTTGCTGAAACAGCAATACGGTATATCGAAATCTGGTTTAATTGCGCAAATAGATGTGTGAAAGTAACAGATATTTTGTGTGATATTTTGACAACCATGACAGTCAAATAATAGAGAAATTTAAGCAGTAATCAAGTTGAATACAACCAACAATCATGGATGAAAAAAAGAAAGCAAAACCTATTCAAAAAATCTTTTATCTTCATTAAAAAGGCAACAGATTGGAACAAATTATTGTGATTTCATGATCAAAGTTGGAAAAGAAGAATTTCATGTTCATAGAAATATTCTTTCTGCAGCTTCACCTTATTTTAATGAAATGTTATCCAATGATACAAAAGGAAAACAGGATGGTTACATGGAAGTCAATGACTTAGACCTGGATGTGGTGAAACAGTGTGTTGATTTTATAAACACTGGTAAAGTTGTGCTAACAATGGATAAAATAGAAAACCTAATTTTTGCTGCAGATTTGTGGAAACTATGCGACCTCGTCGATACATGCTCCGAATACTTGTTGGATAATTTGAGTGTTGGAAACTGTATACAGTTCGCAAACTTGACTCAGGCGTATAACCAGAAAGATTCAAAGCAAGATATACCGTATTTATTCGATTATAACGCGCAAAATTTTGAACTGAATTTTAGGCAAAAATCAATGCTGCGCGTTATACGCGAGGTCTGAGAAATGCGGTATTGAAAATGTGGTTTTAAACATCTGAAACGTGCGTGCGCTCGCGCATGCACATTCCAATGCAGGACGATTTCGTGCAAGCACACGCACATGCGACAGCTCAGCGTGCGTTTGACATTCGTGCAACAGTTGTTTGGTGAATCACAGACTGAATCCGATTTTGTAGAGTTTTGAATTACTGTGTGCTTTTAATAAATTTTTGTTCATGCTGTGAGTTGTTACCTTATGTGCTTACCAGTAGTTAGTAGAGAAAAAATAAAAAAAAGAATTTTATACCAATTTTCATTCAAAATTTAAAGGTGCGCGTTATACACGAGTGCGCGTTATAATTGAATAAATACGGTAAGTGATTTTATCATAAATAACTTTAAAAGCGTTATTGAAAGGGACGAATTTTTGACAATAAATAAAAAGGACTTGTGTGCCTTTATCTCCAAAGTTTCAAATGAAGTCTTAAAGTGGAATGCTGCTACAAAGTGGGTAAAAGTAGAAAATCGTGAAAAAAGAATTTGTTGATCTATTAAGAATAATCAAGTTAGAAGAATTATCAAATGATTTTATCAGAGAAAACGTTAAAACAGAGCCTCTTATGAATGAGTCCATGGAATGTAAAGATTTACTGATAGATGCTATGCTTGAAACCAGGAGTGAAAATTTAGAGATACAGAACACATTTCTGCAGGAAGTAGAAGAGTCAAATGAAATTGATGAAAATGAGGGACCCCAGCCTTACTTTGTGGTACTTCGTGAAGAAAGTCGCATCCTTCATAAATTTAACTGTAATAAAAAGATTGGTCACAGATTGTGAGAATACCAAGATGTGTATCTAGAGAAAAACCAGATATCATTTCAATAAACAACACTATTTATTTGCTCCATGGAAAATATTTGAGAAAATTGAATGGCAAAGAATGGATAAATTTGGCATCCATGTCTCATGAGCCTTCCTATTTCAGATGTGTTACTTTCAAAGGCTTCATATATGTCATTGACAGATGGAAAACTTCGTCATATAGCCTAGAAGAAAATACATGGACTGAATATTTAGAAGGTTGTGGGTTGGGGCGAGGATTTGCAGTTACAACGTCAGATTCATACATTTATGCGATGGGAGGTGAAGAAACAAGTAAACAAGCTGAAGAATTTGACATAAACACGAAAAAGTGGGAACCAATTACAAGCATGAGGGGTTCGAAACATTTCTGTTCAGCAATATGGTTCAATAACAACATCTGTGTTCTTGGCGGTTATATCGCTTTGAACTCAAAGGGATATTATGTTGGTGGTAACTCATCCTCTGAAGCTTATACAGATTCAGTCGATAGCTGGAGCAGCATAAACGGCTGGAATTTAGATAAACAACACACCAAGGCATTTATCATAAAACAGGAAATTTATCTAATTGGTGATAGTAACTATGTAACAGTGCTATTCATGTCAGGTGGAAAATACGAGATGAAAAATATAGATGTTGGTGGGAATTGCTCATCAATTGCATGTCTAATTTATAAATGAATAAAACACGATTGGGAAATCATTTTGATATGATTCTTTTAATTGAATAAAAACAATTTAATATACGGTAGTATAAAGCAGTGGTGGCCACCTGTCTTTGATTGAGATAGACTGAAATCTTCATAATTCCATGCAATCAATGATACTGGTCAATGATAAAGTCTTAACGAAAAAGAATCAGTACCACAAACCTTTATCAATTAATTTTCAATAAATAATATTAATAATTTCTGACGATTCTCGAATCATAAGTTCAAAATGACCAGAAAAAAAGGCAAATAGCTGTTTTGTAGGTTCACTCAGTAACATCTCTGATTTGGAGTATTAAATAAATCAAGTTCTGAAAACTGACTTCCAAAAATAGCAGGGCAAGAAATAGCAGTACTGGCACTGTTGCATCAGGATCATCTGGTTTTGATTAGCCTGTTCGGTGCGAAAGCTCGATAGCAAACACACTTATATTGATTTAGTAATAAGGTGCTACATCAGGTTTTGACTTTTGTTCCAACAAATTTAGTTAAGTATTATAGTACTTCTTTTTAGAACACAAAACAGTAGTGAATACTGATTAAATGCAATTATTTCCAAGAAGTTATCAAGATCGTGATTGGCATGTTGGCCACCTCTGGTAGCCTATACAGCATCAAATATCTATATCTTATAATGTCAAAGGGCTATCAGGAATTGTTTAATAACAGCAATATTATTATTGAGTTTTTCTAACCACTTTGAAGTGCATGTTAATTTCACTGTTTTTTCTATATGTTTAGCAAAGTTCATCGTTTCATAAAATAAACATAGAAGCATATTATCGATTGTATACTATATTATTTCAACTTTCAAGTCAAATATCATGTTAATTCATTATTTGATAAGTCCAAACAGACATCTGGAGTAAAGTTACTCTACAAATCCAAGCTGTGATTGGTTATGAATTAATATTACCTAGCTCAGCGATTCAAAACCCTTTTGATGGTTCTTCTATCAATCAAAAAAATTAATTCCACTCTTGTATATATTTATTCGAGATAGATAAAAGACACTTACCGGTACTTATTTATTTCAATTAAAATTCACTGCAAAAGTTTTTTCATTATTTTTGAGCTATGGAGAATCTGAGGAACAGTTGGTTATGGGGCACAATGCATGTTACTGCAACATCGCTTTTTTTTCTACTTTGCATCACCGGCCTAAATTGTAAAGTATCGTTTCCAGGAATTAGAAAATGTAGAACGCCTCACTGAAGATAAATACCTACCTGGTTAATAACAATTAACTTTGGGCTAAGGTACAAATAAATTATCATACAATGTCAGACACCATATTTTATATTGTCGATTTGATACTAACATACCTTTCGGAATTCTGTTGAGATAAAGAACCTCACAATCCAATAAACAACTAGTGTAGGTTTTATTGCAATATAAATATTTTATCAGATTATGGATATAGGATTCACAGATATTACACAACTTCATCAAGAATCATCAAAAAATGAAAACTAAATAATTGCTAAACAATAAAATTCATATTTACAAGGGACAGACAGAAGATACAGAAAGGCCCACTTGTGACGTGAGAGGCTCGGTGCAGGGTAATAGGACAACAAACAACCATAATTAGATTCTTTCTTCTAATGAGTGCTCCCTGGTTAACTAGTATGAATGAAGTGTGAAGTGCATATTATCAAGCAGACACAATATTGAAAAATACAGTTTGTATCAGATTAACATAGTTTATCAGAGACAGAGTGAACCCGAATTAGACTTTATTGTAGTAATTACCATTCTTTTTGGCTTTCATATTGAATCTAACCATTTTGTTGCCATCTTTACATTTCACAAATAATGTGTTGTCAGTCGCTAATGCCTCCAAAATAAATGCTTCTACCTCAGGGTTTAGAAAAAGTGTGAAGTGAACTTTATTAAGCAAATAAATTATTGAACAGTAAATTATAGCGTATATCAGCTTACTATAGTTTATCTGAGACATAGTGAACAAGAATCAGACTTCATTGCAGTAATAGAATTACCAATCTTTTTGGATTTTATATCAAATTTAACCATTTTGTTGTCATCTTTAAATTTCACAAATAATGTGTTGTCAGTCGCTAATGCCTCCAAATAAAATGCTTTAAGCTGCCATATTGGGAAGTCACCTCCAAATTTTGTCCACTGATTTGTAGAGGGAGTATAAAACTCAATAGAAGTATGTTGATAATGAGCTCCTATCAATATGCCACCAACAGCAAATATTCTGACAGGTAAATGGGAAGCAGCTGCTCCACCATTACAATGTTCATACAACATATCATCTATCCTATCCCAATTCCCATCAAATTCTTTAGCTTGCTTCTCAGTACCTTTCCCTCCAAGAGCATAAATTTGATCAGACGAAGCAGTGACCATGACACCTTCTCCTAGTTGATGGCCTTTCTCTTGCTCAACCCAAGTATTTGTCTCAGGAATGAATTTTGAAACTTTTTCAGACTCAATCACCAATATACAACCTTTGCAAGTCAGACAGACATAGTTTGAGGGTTCACTTTCCAAGTTTGCTAAATTTTTCCACATTCCATTTGAATATTTCATCAAACTTTGTTTGTGGAAAACATATATCTCACTTTCGATGCAAATGACATCTCTATGACCTTCTGAAAATTCTTCAGGTATTTTTGTAATCCTGGATACTTCAGATGATCGGCAATTAATGTTATACAACATTCTACCATGTTTAGGTAACAAGACGATGTGAGGAACTGGTTTACATGAACCCGATTCTGCAGCTGATTCTGTTGCTGGTGCAATAGCGATATCCAACTGATTTCTTTTATTTTTCAAAGTGTGAATTGACTCACTTAACACATTTATCAAATATGTTTTAAAATCGTCGGATTCTTTCATTAAAGGTTCGGTTTGAACCTGATTTTTTACAAAATCCTTCGGTAAATCAGCAAGACTAATGACATGCAGAAGACAAAGAAACATTGAAGTACGATTTTTCATGTCTGCTTTGACCCATTTGACAGCAGCTTTCCACTTTAAAATTTCTCCTACCCCATAAGAACCAGATAAAGAATTCATATACTTCTGAATTTCACCTAAAGATTTTTTCTGGAAATCTTCTGTTGAAGTCATTTTATCAAAATTTTCAGAAATGTATTTCTCAACTTTTTTTTGAGAATTTACATGATTATATTTTTGAGCCAACTCCTTGTAGAGAAAACAGTTTCTTGAATCCAAATTTTCAATCAAATAGTCAAAATACATGTCAGAAAGCTCTGTCAGATTGAAGAGCTCTGAAGCATGGATAAGAAAATCCGGGGAATCAGTAGAAAACAGCACTTTTCCTGTATAAATGAATTTTACACATTTTTTGACAGATTCTGTGTCCACACCTCGAAGTTCTACGAACCCATCTCTTCTTTCTTTACTATTGTGAGACAACATTTTATCAAAATAGGATGAAGATGCTGCAATAACATTTCGATGAACATAGATTTTCTCATCTCCAACTTTGATTAAGAAGTCACAATACTTTTCTTCTTGCCTTTGCTTTTCTAATATTATCAGTAGATCCTGGGATCGACTCTTACTTTCTCTTTCATTTGCCATATTTTTTCAACCAACTATTTTTGGATTGCTTTTGGAAATGATTATCTATACATATAATAAACTTGGTCAATTTTGCTATATCAAACCTAAATTTTTTTTTATTGAAAGCAACAGCAACGCAAAAAAAATAATAAGAGTGTTATAAATATTTACCGTAGTCCCTTTATCATTTTTATAAATATTCATCATTTTGCCTCTGAATCAGATTATAAAGCAGATAATAAGAAAGATCATTCCCATACTCATTTAACAACAGACCAAAAACAAAAAAGCAATGTGGAAACACTCCTGCATGATACCAAAGTACGGGTTACTTTAATATTGATTTAGGTACTTGAATGTGCAAACACACTCTGACAGTCGAGGTAATAAAACCTACAATAATGAGCAATGTGAAGATTTGTGTTGTGGATGTGGTGTTTACCAAAGGTAAACATAATTCTGGTGTATACAAAACGAGCCATGAATGACAATTCAGATTCAAACTGTTGGGATATGCCATTTCTGCCATCCTGTTTCTATGCCATTTCTCTCTACCTGTATCATACATGATTGTGTTATTTTCTATTTAACTGATTGGAGTATTTGGTTGTATTAAGATCTTTGTTAACAGTTAGACTTACATTAGGTTAAATGTGTTATGCTTCATTCACAAACATTGGATTTATACAAAGACACTCAAGTTGGTAATCTGTAAAGAATCTGCTCATCAGACTTCCCAACATGGCGCTGCGACTAACAGATGCTACCAGCTGGAGTACTTTTTTCAAATCTCTCGGCATCCCCGAAGAGAGATCGATGAATATGGAAATACATTTCATGCTAATGAGCTCACTGAGACTGAATTACCACAGCTGGACAAAAATACTCTTAAAAGTGATTTGGGTATAACAATCTTAGCACATCAAATTAAAATATTGAATCATTCTCAGCAAAACATATCCAACTCTTCTCAGCCCACCAAACTAAATCTGCCTGTAAAGTTACCTGAATTCTCAACTAGAATGTCTAGTTCTGATTTTCGCACTGCTTTATCCGTGTGGACAACATTCAAGAACCTTCAACCACATGCAAGCTTTCATGCCAATGATTTACTTTACTCTGCATGTGATCAGGCAGTTCAAAAAATCATCAACAACACATGTTCAGAGTTCAGAGACTTAACCGAAAAGGAATTCCTATCTAAAATCAGGAACATTGTCACACTAGAATTAAATCCTCTTACGCACAGAACAAAATTCATGGACATGCAGCAACATACTGGGGAAACAGTCACACAGTTTGTAGCCAGACTGCTTTCTGTGGCACACGACTGCGAATACATATGCCCAAGCGAAGCATGCAAGTTTGATCAAACCGACTGGCACGTTCGGGATCAGCTCATCAAGGGCATCTGCAACACAACCCTTCAGGCTGACATACTGTCCAAATGCGCAGACAAAAAGGCCCTCATTACCTTAGAGGAAGTTGTTAAGTATGCCACCGCTTACGAATCGGCTATTCGAAATCAAGAAACGATACACAGCCACACACAATCATATTCTGTATCACACTTCGCCACACACAGACAACGTCAAAAGAGAAGCCCTAGCAAGAAGTCATCTTCAGGACGTATTGCATGTAGGGGATGTGGCAGTCTTAATCATGGATCCACAGAAATGGACAGGAAGAATCGATGCCCAGCATGGGGAAAAACTTGTTCTCACTGTCGAAAAGATAATCATTACAAGAAAGTATGCTTCTCCGCAAAAAGCAATGCAATACAGGCACAGTCCATGACATCATCCGAGCCCAGTCAGACTCAGATTCTGTGGATGAAAAAGCCAATCTGAGCGTAATTTCACTTTATAACGTTGTTCATATTTGCACATATCGAAGAGAGTTCTACAAAAATGTAACAAAAGCATTCGCATTGTAGGAGGTAGTACTATCAAAGCTTACTGCTATGCCAACGTAAACATAAATATTATTGGATATGGTAACAAACAAAAACAACAACTATACTTTACTGAACCTGGGATAAAGCTACGCCATCTATATTAAGCAAAGATGCATGTATAGCATTGACATCCTACCGAAGAGTTTTCCACTGCCATCACCTAATGCCAGCTCAATAAACTCTCTTACGAGCACAAGGTCTCCCACAAAACCCTCAATCACAAATCAACGGGTTCAATCACTACCGACCAGACCTATGTCTATTCCTTTTCCTCCAACTGAGGACAACATAACTAGACTGAAACAGTACATTCTGGATAGTTTCAAGGCTTCCGCCTTTGACCGATCTCCACCATTCCCCACAATGCAGGGACCACCTGCACACATCTACCTCAAACCGAAGGCTATCCCATATGCACGCCACACACCGATTCCAATACCCATACATATGGAGAAACCAGCAAAGCAAAAACTACTGGACGATGTCGAAAAGGGCATAGTAAAGCCCGTACCTCCAGGCATGATCACACCATGGTGTTCACCCATGGTCACACTCTTGAAGAAAAATGGATCTATCCGGCGAACTATTGATTTACAGAAATTGAACGCCCAGTGCATACGAGAAGCTCACTATAATCCATCTCCATTCAAAGCTGCCTGCAAAATTCCTCCTAACACGAAAAAGTCTATTTTGGACATCACTGATGGCTATCATAGCGTCCCACTAGATGAGGAAAGTCAACGTTCATCACACCATGGGGAAGATTTATGAACACACGCCTTATTCAAGGTTTTAAATCTGCAGGAGATATTTTCAATGGCAACCTCGATCTCATTCTAGAAGAGTCAAACATTGAAAAAGTACAGCATGTAGTGGATGACCTATGCCTATATGAGAGTGACATTCAATCATCCTTCTACCAAGTTTGGGATTTTCTCACACTGAGCGTTCAAAAGGGATAGTATTCAATCCTGATAAATTCAAATTCTGTCAGGATACCATCATATTTGCTGGCCTTAAAATAACCCCTGCTGGGATTGCACCTGCCCCAGCGCTTCTTGACTCCATCAAAACTTTCCACCTCCGACAAACATTCACGACGCTCGAAGTTGGCACGGCTTGGTAAATCAAATATCATGGGCTTACGCCATCTCCCCCATTATGCTCCCATTTCGCGACCTAATAAAAAAGGGATCCAAATTCATATGGGACGACACTCTTCAATCTATATTTGAGAAATCGAAAGCGAAACTTATCACCCTATGTGAAGAAGGGATTAAATCATTTGACCTTCATCGACCATCTTTGATTCAATGCGACTGGAGCAAGGACGGCATTGGCTATCTACTTCTACAGAAATATTGTACCTGCGGTACAAATGAAGCCCCAAATTGTTGCCCTGATGGTTGGCATCTCGTATACGCCGGCTCTCGGCACACTTCACAAGCTGAAAGAAACTATGCACCCATCGAAGGCGAAGCGCTTGCGGTTGCTTGGAGCTTAGACCATGCCAAGTCTTTCATCCTCGGCTGTAAAGATCTCATTGTAGTAACCGATCACAAACCCCTCATCCCATTGTTCAGCAACCGACAACTATCTGACATCAGCAACCCACGCGTGCTGAGATTCAGATCAAAAGTTTCTCAATACGATTTCTCCATACACCACTGTTGTGGAAAATGGCACAGAGGGCCAGATGCGCTTTCAAGGAATCCAGTACTTTCTGCCTCTAATCCAACTGATGAAGACCTCTTTGCTGCTGAACTAGAGGACGACACCACTTGGTCTCTCATGCACGAGACAATACAAGCCTTAAATTGTTACATTGAAAACGAGAATGGACCTCTTACGGATCGGGCAATAACTATCGATAGGCTTCAAAACGCTTGTCAAGCTGACAAATCACATAAGCTGTTACATGAAACTATTTCTTCTGGATTCCCTCCCACAAGAAGTGCCACTTCACCGGAAGTTCGCTCCTATTGAGAACTACGTAACAGACTATCTTGTTTCGACAACAAGATCATTGTTTTAGATAACAAAAGATTCGTTATCCCTCGACAGCTCAGATCATCTGTGCTCCATACACTACACAGTGCCCACCAGGGCTGCACAAATATGGTCGCTAGGGCAAAAGATTGTGTGTACTGGCCGGGAATGAACAAATGCATTCTCAACTTCAAATCTTCTTGCTCCACTTGCTCCTATATTGCACCATCTCAAGTTCAAGAAACTATCATACCAACACCTCCACCCCAATGGCCTTTTCAACAAATCTGTGCTGACCTATTTTATCTAAATGGTAACGATTACATAGCAATCACAGACAGATTCAGTGGATGGATTGAAATTGCCCACTTTCACCGATCACCTTCCACAAAACGCATCATTCCTGTTTTCGAACAACTTTTAACGCGCTTTGGCTGTGCTGAAGAACTCAGTACTGATGGTGGCCCTCAGTTTGCTTCAGAGGAATTCAAGAAATTTCTGGAAATTTGGGGTGTGAAAGGTCGAATCTCGTCAGCACACTATCCACAATCAAATGGGCGAGCTGAACTTGCCGTAAAAACAGTCAAACGACTCATCCGGGACAATTTACTGCCAGACGGTTCCCCAAAAAGTCGTTCATTCGGCAAAGCACTTCTTCAATATCGAAACACCCCTCTCCGTGATATTGGACTCAGTCCAGCACAACTTTTGTTTTCTCGGCATCTGAGGGACTTCTTACCTATTCACCCATCAAACCTACGGCTCAATCCACTGTGGACACAAGCAGCCAAAGCTAGAGAAAAAACTCTTTCTCAGGAATATATTGACCTACAAACTGAATACAACAAACATGCACACGACCTACCATTTTTAGAAGAAGGAACAAACGTTTCAATCCAAAATCCCATCAACAAAAGATGGGACAGGTCAGGAAAAGTTGTGAAATGCTTCAAACACCGTAAATACTTGATTAGAATGGATGGATCTGGGAGAACAGTCACACGAAACCGGAGATTCCTAAAGCCTATTTTGTTCGAACCCCAAGCTACAATTCCCATATCACCCAACCTGCCACATTCTAGCCATATCTCCCCTCCAAATTCGGGGCCCCCACCTTTTCGCCCTTTGTCAAACCAAACTAATCCCTCAGCTATTTCTCGTCCAGCCACGCACCCACCAAGATTACCTCTGGCATTGAGACGCCTACAGCCTTACAACAAGCCAGGGCTGTCTGAATGAACATGACTATACTGACTGTTCTAAGTGATAAAATAAGACATTTGATAATGAATACTGAACAATTTTTATTTCTTTGTTTATTGCTGTTCAGATGTTTCTTTGCCTGTTGCTATTTCGTTATTTGTTCACTTTGTCATTTTGTGATATTTTGAAAAATATCTTTTTCCTTTGCGAAGGGGAGATATTAGGATATGCCATTTCTGCCATCCTGTTTCTATGCCATTTCTCTCTACCTGTATCATACATGTTTGTGTTATTTTCTATTTAACTGATTGGAGTATTTGGTTGTATTAAGATCTTTGTTAACAGTTAGACTTACATTAGGTTAAATGTGTTATGCTTCATTCACAAACATTGGATTTATACAAAGACACTCAAGTTGGTAATCTGTAAAGAATCTGCTCATCAGACTTCCCAACAGCTTCAGGTACACTTTATACCTATTGATCCATAGGTGTGAACAAGTTCAATGTGTGTTGAATCCCAGTTTTCAACCATTTAAAGTAAAAACAAAAGTTATTGTTTAATGGGTGAAATTAAGTGACATATTATAGTGCTCAAATTTGGCTTATTTACAATTTATTCACATACCTTTTACCTCAATTAACAAGATAACACACGTAACAAATATCGAGCTCTAATTATTTTGCGAAGAAAATATAATTAGGTGGTATCAGAGATTCTTAATAAGGATAAGTCTTTATGTTTCTTCTGCGTTACAGAGTGGCTCGTTGGACTAGGGGTATGATTCTCGCTTTGGGTACGAGAGGTCCCGGGTTCAAATCCCGGACGAGCCCGTTCTGTCTCATTTATTGGCATATATCGCAATTTATTTAATTACTGGAATTCGTTCATGAATGCAGCTTCAAAAGTCATCTAGAAGCACCTGACTTATATATGCCAAGTCACGCCGAAGCGATAACTAACAGGATACCAATTATCACAAATAACAAAAAAACAGGGCAATTATTCCCCGTTGAAAATTTTCCTACGCTGTTCATCTCGACGCCTGCTTTGAAGTTGTGATTTGCACTGCGTCTTTATCAACTTTAACTGACGGATGGGTTGATAACAAATAGAAAAGGCATATATGTGTTTAATAATTGTTGTTAAGAACTTTACTTCAATTTCAAGACATTAATACGTAATCTGCATGTTTCTTCACAGGATGTTACCACTGTTGACAAGGAACCGCAATATTTCAACCAGAGCATTCTCAAAGAAACCAAAATGTAGACGTTCTTTGTCGCAAAACTACTGGGTGTGGGGTTTGAACCCACGCGAACACTCGCCCATTGGAACTTAAGTCCAACGCCTTAACCACTCGGCCAACCCGGTTGCATTTACAGCTCCAACAGGTAGCGTTGAATTTTTATAGGTTCTATGAAACAGGTACTATTAGAAATATCTGTCCATAGCCAACCGTTTGTATGTACGTGTAATCGAATTTAAATGACAGATAAGTTGATAAGGGTAGAAAAGGCATATACTGCGTCTTTATCGACTTTAACTGACGGATGAGTTGATAACGCATAGAAGACAGTGGTTACAGGGTAATATCATAGATAAGTTATACGACAATAACGGCCTATGTGTAACTAATGTGTAACTAATTCTACGGTGCATTTCATCTTTTATGAATTTGGTCACTGATTTAAATAATAAAAAAACATGCTCGTAACCAGGATGTCATCTTTTTTTTTATTTTAAATACTTATGATGGATATTTGGTATTTTTTGTTTTTTGAAAATGTTCTTTTTTTCTTCAAAATATTTATTTTGAAATGTTTTGGTGTTTCATTAACTTTTTAAGCTATTAACCTGAATCAACAAGCGTTTTAGGTGTCGCTGCCTGAAGACCTCTTGAGGTACCTCGCGACTCCTGTCACACAATTAGGGTTAGTTTCCACTTGTATTTGTAATTTTTTTTTTATATATCATACCATGTTTAAATTGTGTTGACGAATAAATGATGATTGATTGATGATTGATTGAATCCTTCCGCTCGGCTCGTTGGTCTAGGGGTATGATTCTCGCTTAGGGTGCGAGAGGTCCCGGGTTCAAATCCCGGACGAGCCCAACATTCTGGATTTGTACGCATCTACTGCTTGTTAATGTCATGAAAGGCATTTCTTGTTTTTAGGAAGCATTATACAACTGTAATGTGTGAGGTCGCGTTGAAACCAAATTTCTCGGAATACCAAATATCACAACTTACAAACGACATGGCAATAATTACTTGTCGAAGAAGTTATATCATAATGATTATATCGCCTCATGAAAGAGCGGTTTGAATCCAGCTGCGGATTCCAACTGGCACAGTTCATTATTCCGTTTCGTGATGCGGCTTTGATTCACTTTCCCCTAATCCAACGAGCCACGCGATGGCTTCAGGTACACTTTATACCTATTGATCCATGGGTGTGAACAAGTTCAATGTGTGTTGAATCCCAGTTTTCGACCATTTAAAGTATAAACAAAACTAATTGTTTAATGGGTGAAATTAAGTGACATATTATAGTGCTCAAATTTGGCTTATTTACTATTTATTCACATACCTTTTACCTCAATTAACAAGATAACACACGTAACAAATATCGAGATCTAATTATTTTGCGAAGAAAATATAATTAGGAGGTATCAGAGATTCTTAATAAGGATAAGTCTTTATGTTTCTTCTGCGTTACAGAGTGGCTCGTTGGTCTAGGGGTATGATTCTCGCTTCGGGTGCGAGAGGTCCCGGGTTCAAATCCCGGACGAGCCCGTTCTGTTTCATTTATTGGCATAAATCGCAATTTATTTAATTACTGGAATTCGTTCATGATTGCAGCTTCAAAAGTAATCTAGAAGCACCTGACTTATATATGCCAAGTCACGCCGAAGCGATAATTAACAGGATACCAATTATCACAAATGACAGAAAAACAGGGCAATTATTCCCCGTTGAAAATTTTCCTACGCTGTTCATCTCGACGCCTGCTTTGAAGTTGTGATTTGCACTGCGTCTTTATCGACTTTAACTGACGGATGGGTTGATAATAAATAGAAAAGGCATTTTTGTGTTCAATAATTGTTGTTCAGAACTTTACATCAATTTCAAGACATTGATACGTAATCTGCATGTTTCTTCACAGGTTATTACCACTGTTGACAAGGAACCGCAATATTTCAACCAGAGCATTCTAAAAGAAACCAAAATGTAGACGTTCTTTGTCGCAAACCTACCGGGTGTGGGGTTCGAACACACGCGGACACTCGCCCATTGGAACTTAAGTCCAACGCCTTAACCACTCGGCCAACCCGGTTGCATTTACAGCTCCAACAGGTAGCATTAAATTTTTATAGGTTCTATGAAACATGTACTATTAGAAATATCTGTCAATAGCCAACCGTTTGTATGTACGTGTTATCGAATTTAAATGACAGATAAGTTGTTAAGGGTAGAAAAGGCATATACTGCGTCTTTATCGACTTTAACTGACGGATGAGATGATAACGCATAGAAGACAGTGGTTACAGGGTAATATCATAGATAAGTTATACGATAATAACGTCCTATGTGTAACTAACCTTCCGCTCGGCTCGTTGGTCTAGGGGTATGATTCTCGCTTAGGGTGCGAGAGGTCCCGGGTTCAAATCCCGGACGAGCCCAACTTTCTGGATTTATACGCATCTACTGCTTGTTAATGTCATGGAAGGCATTTCTTGTTTTTAGGAAGCATTATACAACTGTAATGTGTGAGGTCGCGTTCTCGGAATACCAAATATCACAACTTACAAACGACATCCCAATAATTACTTGTCGAAGAAGTTATATCATAATGATTATATCGCCTCATGAAAGAGCGGTTTGAATCCAGCTGCGGATTCCAACTGGCACAATTCATTATTCCGTTTCGTGATGCGGCTTTGATTTACTTTCCCGTCGACCAACGAGCCACGCGATGGCTTCTATTGGGATATGCCATTTCTGCCATCCTGTTTCTATGCCATTTCTCTCTACCTGTATCATACATGTTTGTGTTATTTTCTATTTAACTGATTGGAGTATTTGGTTGTATTAAGATCTTTGTTAACAGTTAGACTTACATTAGGTTAAATGTGTTATGCTTCATTCACAAACATTGGATTTATACAAAGACACTCAAGTTGGTAATCTGTAAAGAATCTGCTCATCAGACTTCCCAACATGGCGCTGCGACTAACAGATGCTACCAGCTGGAGTACTTTTTTCAAATCTCTCGGCATCCCCGATGAGAGATCCGATGAATATGGAAATACATTTCATGCTAATGAGCTCACTGAGACTGAATTACCACAGCTGGACAAAAATACTCTTAAAAGTGATTTGGGTATAACAATCTTAGCACATCAAATTAAAATATTGAATCATTCTCAGCAAAACATATCCAACTCTTCTCAGCCCACCAAACTAAATCTGCCCGTAAAGTTACCTGAATTCTCAACTAGAATGTCTAGTTCTGATTTTCGCACTGCTTTATCCGTGTGGACAACATTCAAGAACCTTCAACCACATGCAAGTGTTCATGCCAATGATTTACTTTACTCTGCATGTGATCAGGCAGTTCAAAAAATCATCAACAACACATGTTCAGAGTTCAGAGACTTAACCGAAAAGGAATTCCTATCTAAAATCAGGAACATTGTCACACTAGAATTAAATCCTCTTACGCACAGAACAAAATTCATGGACATGCAGCAACATACTGGGGAAACAGTCACACAGTTTGTAGCCAGACTGCTTTCTGTGGCACACGACTGCGAATACATATGCCCAAGCGAAGCATGCAAGTTTGATCAAACCGACTGGCACGTTCGGGATCAGCTCATCAAGGGCATCTGCAACACAACCCTTCAGGCTGACATACTGTCCAAATGCGCAGACAAAAAGGCCCTTATTACCTTAGAGGAAGTTGTTAAGTATGCCACCGCTTACGAATCGGCTATTCGAAATCAAGAAACGATACACTGCCACACACAATCATATTCTGTATCACACTTCGCCACACAAAGACAACGTCAAAAGAGAAGCCCTAGCAAGAAGTCATCTTCAGGACGCATTGCATGTAGGGGATGTGGCAGTCTTAATCATGGATCCACAGAAATGGACAGGAAGAATCGATGCCCAGCATGGGGAAAAACTTGTTCTCACTGTCGAAAAGATAATCATTACAAGAAAGTATGCTTCTCCGCAAAAAGCAATGCAATACAGGCACAGTCCATGACATCATCCGAGTCCCAGTCAGACTCAGATTCTGTGGATGAAAAAGCCAATCTGAGCGTAATTTCACTTTATAACGTTGGAGATCCACACTCCTCATTAGCTGAAATCAAAATTCAGATCTCTCATACTTCGTCTACAGCAAACAGCATCTGCTCCAAACCTGTGACAGCACTACCGGACAGTGGAGCATCAATATGTGTCGCTGAACATCCATATATTTCATATTTGCACATATCGAAGAGAGTTCTACAAAAATGTAACAAAAGCATTCGCATTGTAGGAGGTAGTACTATCAAAGCTTACTGCTATGCCAACGTAAACATAAATATTATTGGATATGGTAAACAAACAAAACAACAACTATACTTTACTGAACCTGGGATAAAGCTACGCCATCTATATTTAAGCAAAGATGCATGTATAGCATTGGACATCCTACCGAAGAGTTTTCCACTGCCATCACCTAATGCCAGCTCAATAAACTCTCTTACGAGCACAAGGTCTCCCACAAAACCCTCAATCACAAATCAACGGGTTCAATCACTACCGACCAGACCTATGTCTATTCCTTTTCCTCCAACTGAGGACAACATAACTAGACTGAAACAGTACATTCTGGATAGTTTCAAGGCTTCCGCCTTTGACCGATCTCCACCATTCCCCACAATGCAGGGACCACCTGCACACATCTACCTCAAACCGAAGGCTATCCCATATGCACGCCACACACCGATTCCAATACCCATACATATGGAGAAACCAGCAAAGCAAAAACTACTGGACGATGTCGAAAAGGGCATAGTAAAGCCCGTACCTCCAGGCATGATCACACCATGGTGTTCACCCATGGTCACACTCTTGAAGAAAAATGGATCTATCCGGCGAACTATTGATTTACAGAAATTGAACGCCCAGTGCATACGAGAAGCTCACTATAATCCATCTCCATTCAAAGCTGCCTGCAAAATTCCTCCTAACACGAAAAAGTCTATTTTGGACATCACTGATGGCTATCATAGCGTCCCACTAGATGAGGAAAGTCAACCACTGACAACGTTCATCACACCATGGGGAAGATTTATGAACACACGCCTTATTCAAGGTTTTAAATCTGCAGGAGATATTTTCAATCGCAACCTCGATCTCATTCTAGAAGAGTCAAACATTGAAAAAGTACAGCATGTAGTGGATGACCTATGCCTATATGAGAGTGACATTCAATCATCCTTCTATCAAGTTTGGGATTTTCTCACACTGAGCGTTCAAAAGGGGATAGTATTCAATCCTGATAAATTCAAATTCTGTCAGGATACCATCATATTTGCTGGCCTTAAAATAACCCCTGCTGGGATTGCACCTGCCCCAGCGCTTCTTGACTCCATCAAAAACTTTCCACCTCCGACAAACATTCACGACGCTCGAAGTTGGCACGGCTTGGTAAATCAAATATCATGGGCTTACGCCATCTCCCCCATTATGCTCCCATTTCGCGACCTAATAAAAAAGGGATCCAAATTCATATGGGACGACACTCTTCAATCTATATTTGAGAAATCGAAAGCGAAACTTATCACCCTATGTGAAGAAGGGATCAAATCATTTGACCTTCATCGACCATCTTTGATTCAATGCGACTGGAGCAAGGACGGCATTGGCTATCTACTTCTACAGAAATATTGTACCTGCGGTACAAATGAAGCCCCAAATTGTTGCCCTGATGGTTGGCATCTCGTATACGCCGGCTCTCGGCACACTTCACAAGCTGAAAGAAACTATGCACCCATCGAAGGCGAAGCGCTTGCGGTTGCTTGGAGCTTAGACCATGCCAAGTCTTTCATCCTCGGCTGTAAAGATCTCATTGTAGTAACCGATCACAAACCCCTCATCCCATTGTTCAGCAACCGACAACTATCTGACATCAGCAACCCACGCGTGCTGAGATTCAGATCAAAAGTTTCTCAATACGATTTCTCCATACACCACTGTTGTGGAAAATGGCACAGAGGGCCAGATGCGCTTTCAAGGAATCCAGTACTTTCTGCCTCTAATCCAACTGATGAAGACCTCTTTGCTGCTGAACTAGAGGACGACACCACTTGGTCTCTCATGCACGAGACAATACAAGCCTTAAATTGTTACATTGAAAACGAGAATGGACCTCTTACGGATCGGGCAATAACTATCGATAGGCTTCAAAACGCTTGTCAAGCTGACAAATCACATAAGCTGTTACATGAAACTATTTCTTCTGGATTCCCTCCCACAAGAAGTGCCACTTCACCGGAGGTTCGCTCCTATTGGGAACTACGTAACAGACTATCTTGTTTCGACAACAAGATCATTGTTTTAGATAACAAAAGATTCGTTATCCCTCGACAGCTCAGATCATCTGTGCTCCATACACTACACAGTGCCCACCAGGGCTGCACAAATATGGTCGCTAGGGCAAAAGATTGTGTGTACTGGCCGGGAATGAACAAATGCATTCTCAACTTCAAATCTTCTTGCTCCACTTGCTCCTATATTGCACCATCTCAAGTTCAAGAAACTATCATACCAACACCTCCACCCCAATGGCCTTTTCAACAAATCTGTGCTGACCTATTTTATCTAAATGGTAACGATTACTTAGCAATCACAGACAGATTCAGTGGATGGATTGAAATTGCCCACTTTCACCGATCACCTTCCACAAACCGCATCATTCCTGTTTTCGAACAACTTTTCACGCGCTTTGGCTGTGCTGAAGAACTCAGTACTGATGGTGGCCCTCAGTTTGCTTCAGAGGAATTCAAGAAATTTCTGGAAATTTGGGGTGTGAAAGGTCGAATCTCGTCAGCACACTATCCACAATCAAATGGGCGAGCTGAACTTGCCGTAAAAACAGCCAAACGACTCATCCGGGACAATTTACTGCCAGACGGTTCCCCAAAAAGTCGTTCATTCGGCAAAGCACTTCTTCAATATCGAAACACCCCTCTCCGTGATATTGGACTCAGTCCAGCACAACTTTTGTTTTCTCGGCATCTGAGGGACTTCTTACCTATTCACCCATCAAACCTACGGCTCAATCCACTGTGGACACAAGCAGCCAAAGCTAGAGAAAAAACTCTTTCTCAGGAATATATTGACCTACAAACTGAATACAACAAACATGCACACGACCTACCATTTTTAGAAGAAGGAACAAACGTTTCAATCCAAAATCCCATCAACAAAAGATGGGACAGGTCAGGAAAAGTTGTGAAATGCTTCAAACACCGTAAATACTTGATTAGAATGGATGGATCTGGGAGAACAGTCACACGAAACCGGAGATTCCTAAAGCCTATTTTGTTCGAACCCCAAGCTACAATTCCCATATCACCCAACCTGCCACATTCTAGCCATATCTCCAGAGCTAACCACCCTCCAAATTCGGGGCCCCCACCTTTTCGCCCTTTGTCAAACCAAACTAATCCCTCAGCTATTTCTCGTCCAGCCACGCACCCAGCAAGATTACCTCTGTCATTGAGACGCCTACAGCCTTACAACAAGCCAGGGCTGTCTGAATGAACATGACTATACTGACTGTTCTATGTGATAAAATAAGACATTTGATAATGAATACTGAACAATTTTTATTTCTTTGTTTATTGCTGTTCAAATGTTTCTTTACCTGTTGCTATTTCGTTATTTATTCACTTTGTCATTTTGTGATATTTTGAAAAACAAATATCTTTTTCTATTACGAAGGGGAGATATTGGGATATGCCATTTCTGCCATCCTGTTTCTATGCCATTTCTCTCTACCTGTATCATACATGTTTGTGTTATTTTCTATTTAACTGATTGGAGTATTTGGTTGTATTAAGATCTTTGTTAACAGTTAGACTTACATTAGGTTAAATGTGTTATGCTTCATTCACAAACATTGGATTTATACAAAGACACTCAAGTTGGTAATCTGTAAAGAATCTGCTCATCAGACTTCCCAACAGCTTCAGGTACACTTTATACCTATTGATCCATAGGTGTGAACAAGTTCAATGTGTGTTGAATCCCAGTTTTCAACCATTTAAAGTAAAAACAAAAGTTATTGTTTAATGGGTGAAATTAAGTGACATATTATAGTGCTCAAATTTGGCTTATTTACAATTTATTCACATACCTTTTACCTCAATTAACAAGATAACACACGTAACAAATATCGAGCTCTAATTATTTTGCGAAGAAAATATAATTAGGTGGTATCAGAGATTCTTAATAAGGATAAGTCTTTATGTTTCTTCTGCGTTACAGAGTGGCTCGTTGGTCTAGGGGTATGATTCTCGCTTCGGGTGCGAGAGGTCCCGGGTTCAAATCCCGGACGAGCCCGTTCTGTCTCATTTATTGGCATATATCGCAATTTATTTAATTACTGGAATTTGTACATGAATGCAGCTTCAAAAGTCATCTAGAAGCATCTGACTTACATATGCCAAGTCACGCCGAAGCGATAACTAACAGGATACCAATTATCACAAATGACAGAAAAACAGGGCAATTATTCCCCGTTGAAAATTTTCCTACGCTGTTCATCTCGACGCCTGCTTTGAAGTTGTGATTTGCACTGCGTCTTTATCGACTTTAACTGACGGATGGGTTGATAACAAATAGAAAAGGCATATATGTGTTCAATAATTGTTGTTAAGAACTTTACTCCAATTTCAAGACATTGATACGTAATCTGCATGTTCTTCACAGGATGTTACCACTGTAGACAAGGAACCGCAATATTTCAACCAGAGCATTCTCAAAGAAACCAAAATGTAGACGTTATTTGTCGTAAAACTACCGGGTGTGGGGTTCGACCCCACGCGGACACTCGCCCATTGGAACTTAAGTCCAACGCCTTAACCACTCGGCCAACCCGGCTGCATTTGCAGCTCCAACAGGTAGCGTTAAATTTTTATAGGTTCTATGAAACAGGTACTATTAGAAATATCTGTCAATAGCCAACCGTTTGTATGTACGTGTTATCGAATTTAAATGACAGATAAGTTGATAAGGGTAGAAAAAGCATATACTGCGTCTTTATCAACTTTAACTGACGGATGAGTTGATGACGCATAGAAGACAGTGGTTACAGGGCAATATCATAGATAAGTTATACGACAATAACGGCCTATGTGTAACTAATCCTTCCGCTCGGCTCGTTGTTCTAGGGGTATGATTCTCGCTTAGGGTGCGAGAGGTCCCGTGTTCAAATCCCGGACGAGCCCAACTTTCTGGATTTATACGCATCTACTGCTTGTTAATGACATGAAAGTCAATTATTCCCCGTTGAAACTTTTCCTACGCTGTTCATCTCGACGCCTGCTTTGAAGTTGTGATTTGCACTGCGTCTTTATCGACTTTAACTGACGGATGAGTTGATAACATATAGAAACGGCATATATGTGTTCAATAATTGTTGTTCAGAACTTTACATCAATTTCAAGATATGGATACGTAACCTGCATGTTTGTTCACAGGTTGTACCTATGTTGATAACGAACCGCAATATTTCAACCAGAGCATTTTCAAAGAAATCAAAATGTAGACGTTCTCGGAACACCAAATATCACAACTTACAAACGACATGCCAATAATTACTTGTCGAAGAAGTTATATCATAATGATTATATCGCCTCATGAAAGAGCGGTTTGAATCCAGCTGCGGATTCCAACTGGCACAATTCATTATTCCGTTTCGTGATGCGGCTTTGATTTACTTTCCCCTAGACCAACGAGCCACGCGATGGCTTCAGGTACACTTTATACCTATTGATCCATGGGTGTGAACAAGTTCAATGTGTGTTGTATCCCAGTTTTCGACCATTTAAAGTAGAAACAAAAGGTGTTGTTTAATGGTGAAATCAAGTGACATATTATAGTGCTCAAATTTGGCTTATTTACTATTTATTCACATAACTTTTTACCTCAATTAACAAGATAACACACGTAACAAATATCGAGCTCTAATCATTTTGCGAAGAAAATATAATTAGGTGGTATCAGAGATTCTTAATAAGGATAAGTCTTTATGTTTCTTCTACGTTACAGAGTGGCTCGTTGGTCTAGGGGTATGATTCTCGCTTTGGGTGCGAGAGGTCCCGGGTTCAAATCCCGGACGAGCCCGTTCTGTTTCATTTATTGGCATATATCGCAATTTATTTAATTACTGGAATTCGTTCATGATTGCAGCTTCAAAAGTCATCTAGAACAGGGGTGTCAAACTCGCGGCCCGCGGGCCGCATGCGGCCCCAGAGAACTTCCAATGCGGCCCTCGAACGCTTAACAATTATTGTAATATTTTTTTTTATCTAAATATATATATATATTACATTTTTCAAAGTGAAATTGATGCCACGTAATGGTAGGAAATGTCGCGAAATGTGGTGGGAAATGTCTGGTCCGAAAAGTCAGTCATTTGCTTGTTCACTGATCTATACATGAAATGATAAACGTAATATTTTTGCTTTACTAAAATTAATCAAACATTCTCAACGATCCAGAGTAACCGATGATCATGTGACCTCGTTAATTAGAGTTGCTACTGTAAAATCATTTCAGCCTGATATTAGTAAGCTGGTGGCACACAAGAGATGCCAAACGTCGGGACATGTGTAATAAAAAAAAACACTGAGTTTATTCTTTAGTTAGTATTTTTGTAAATTTTAAGTTTATATATTTAGATTGAGTCATTTTTAGTGTGGGTATTATTCGTTCTTTATCAAAACTTTGTTCAAAAATGATTTGGATAGTTGTACATAAAAATTTATGATTTTATGTAATAAATACAGTAAATTGAAGTAATAGTGAAATGGAAAAATTAATATGTAAATGGCATTTGAAATTCAAAAAAATAACAAAACTTTATTCGGCTGTTTAATTGCATCACAATATATGTCACAACCTAGACCTGTCTAAAAATATACTCCAAGTATACATTATTAAATATTTACCAGAAAATGTTTGCGGCCCTTTGAACAATTCCAAAATGCAATGCGGCCCACGAGAACCCACGAGTTTGACACCCCTGATCTAGAAGCATCTGACTTATATATGCCAAGTCACGCCGAAGCGATAACTAACAGGATACCAATTATCACAAATGACAGAAAAACAGGGCAATTATTCCCCGTTGAAAATTTTCCTACGCTGTTCATCTCGACGCCTGCTTTGAAGTTGTGATTTGCGCTGCGTCTTTATCGACTTTAACTGACGGATGGGTTGATAACAAATAGAAAAGGCATATGGGTTCAAATCCCGGACGAGCCCGTTCTGTTTCATTTATTGGCATATATCGCAATTTATTTAATTACTGGAATTCGTTCATGATTGCAGCTTCAAAAGAAATCTAGAAGCATCTGACTTATATATGCCAAGTCACGCCGAAGCGATAACTAACAGGATACCAATTATCACAAATGACAGAAAAACAGGGCAATTATTCCCCGTTGAAAATTTTCCTACGCTGTTCATCTCGACGCCTGCTTTGAAGTTGTGATTTGCGCTGCGTCTTTATCGACTTTAACTGACGGATGGGTTGATAACAAATAGAAATGGCATATATGTGTTCAATAATTGTTGTTAAGAACTTTACTTCAATTTCAAGACATTGATACGTAATCTGCATGTTTGTTCACAGGTTGTACCTATGTTGATAACGAACCGCAATATTTCAACCAGAGCATTTTCAAAGAAACCAAAATGTAGACGTTCTCGGAACACCAAATATCACAACTTACAAACGACATACCAATAATTAATTGTCAAAGAAGTTATATCATAATGATTATATCGCCTCATGAAAGAGCGGTTTGAATCCAGCTGCGGATTCCAACTGGCACAATTCATTATTCCGTTTCGTGATGCGGCTTTGATTTACTTTCCCCTAGACCAACGAGCCACGCGATGGCTTCAGGTACACTTTATACCTATTGATCCATGGGTGTGAACAAGTTCAATGTGTGTTGAATCCCAGTTTTCGACCATTTAAAGTAGAAACAAAAGGTGTTGTTTAATGGTGAAATCAAGTGACATATTATAGTGCTCAAATTTGGCTTATTTACTATTTATTCACATAACTTTTACCTCAATTAACAAGATAACACACGTAACAAATATCGAGCTCTAATCATTTTGCGAAGAAAATATAATTAGGTGGTATCAGAGATTATTAATAAGGATAAGTCTTTATGTTTCTTCTGCGTTACAGAGTGGCTCGTTGGTCTAGGGGTATGATTCTCGCTTTGGGTGCGAGAGGGTCCCGGGTTCAAATCCCGCACGAGCCCGTTTTGTTTCATTTATTGGCATATATCGCAATTTATTTAATTACTGGAATTCGTTCATGATTGCAGCTTCAAAAGTCATCTAGAAGCACCTGACTTATATATGCCAAGTCACGCCGAAGCGATAACTAACAGGATACCAATTATCACAAATGACTAAAAAACAGGGCAATTATTCCCCGTTGAAAGTTTTCCTACGCTGTTCATCTCGACGCCTGCTTTGAAGTTGTGATTTGCACTGCGTCTTTATCGACTTTAACTGTTAGATGGGTTGATAACAAATAAAAAAGGCATATATGTGTTCAATAATTGTTGTTCAGAACTTTACATCAATTTCAAGACATTGATACGTAATCTGCATGTTTCTTCACAGCTTGTTACCAGTGTTGACAAGGAACCGCAATATTTCAACCAGAGCATTCTCAAAGAAACCAAAATATTGACGTTCTTTATCGCAAAACTACCGGGTGTGGGGTTCGAACCCACGCGGACACTCTCCCATTGGAACTTAAGTCCAACGCCTCAACCACTCGGCCAACCCGGTTGCATTTACAGCTCCAACAGGTAGCGTTTAATTTTAGGGTGGGATTCCAACTAGCACAATTCATTATTCCGTTTCGTGATGCGGCTTTGATTTACTTTCCCCTAGACCAACGAGCCACGTGATGGCTTCAGGTACACCTTATACCTATTGATCCATTGGTGTGAACAAGTTCAATGTGTGTTGAATCCCAGTTTTCGACCATTTAAAGTAGAAACAAAAGTTATTGTTTAATGGGTGAAATTAAGTGACATATTATAGTGCTCAAATTTGGCTTATTTACTATTTATTCACATACCTTTTACCTCAATTAACAAGATAACACACGTAACAAATATCGAGCTCTAATCATTTTACGAAGAAAATATAATTAGGTGGTATCAGAGATTCCTAATAACGATAAGTCTTTATGTTTCTTCTGCGTTACAGAGTGGCTCGTTGGTATAGGGGTATAATTCTCGCTTTGGGTGCGAGAGGTCCCGGGTTCAAATCCCGGACGAGCCCGTTCTGTTTCATTTATTGGCATATATCGCAATTTATTTAATTACTGGAATTCGTTCATGATTGCAGCTTCAAAAGTCATCTAGAAGCACCTGACTTATATATGCCAAGTCACGCCGAAGCGATAACTAACAGGATACCAATTATCACAAATGACTAAAAAACAGGGCAATTATTCCCCGTTGAAAATTTTCCTACGCTGTTCATCTCGACGCCTGCTTTGAAGTTGTGATTTGCACTGCGTCTTTATCGACTTTAACTGTTAGATGGGTTGATAACAAATAAAAAAGGCATATATGTGTTCAATAATTGTTGTTCAGAACTTTACATCAATTTCAAGACATTGATACGTAATCTGCATGTTTCTTCACAGCTTGTTACCAGTGTTGACAAGGAACCGCAATATTTCAACCAGAGCATTCTCAAAGAAACCAAAATATTGACGTTCTTTATCGCAAAACTACCGGGTGTGGGGTTCGAACCCACGCGGACACTCTCCCATTGGAACTTAAGTCCAACGCCTCAACCACTCGGCCAACCCGGTTGCATTTACAGCTCCAACAGGTAGCGTTTAATTTTAGGGTGGGATTCCAACTAGCACAATTCATTATTCCGTTTCGTGATGCGGCTTTGATTTACTTTCCCCTAGACCAACGAGCCACGTGATGGCTTCAGGTACACCTTATACCTATTGATCCATTGGTGTGAACAAGTTCAATGTGTGTTGAATCCCAGTTTTCGACCATTTAAAGTAGAAACAAAAGTTATTGTTTAATGGGTGAAATTAGGTGACATATTATAGTGCTCAAATTTGGCTTATTTACTATTTATTCACATACCTTTTACCTCAATTAACAAGATAACACACGTAACAAATATCGAGCTCTAATCATTTTACGAAGAAAATATAATTAGGTGGTATCAGAGATTCCTAATAACGATAAGTCTTTATGTTTCTTCTGCGTTACAGAGTGGCTCGTTGGTATAGGGGTATAATTCTCGCTTTGGGTGCGAGAGGTCCCGGGTTCAAATCCCGGACGAGCCCGTTCTGTTTCATTTATTGGCATATATCGCAATTTATTTAATTACTGGAATTCGTTCATGATTGCAGCTTCAAAGGTCATCTAGAAGCACCTGACTTATATATGCCAAGTCACGCCGAAGAGATAACTAGCAGGATACCAATTATCACAAATGACAAAAAAACAGGGCAATTATTCCCCGTTGAAAATTTTCCTACGCTGTTCATCTCGACGCCTGCTTTGAAGTTGTGATTTGCACTGCGTCTTTATCGACTTTAACTGACGGATGGGTTGATAACAAATAGAAAAGGCATATATGTGTTCAATAATTGTTGTTAAGAACTTTACTTCAATTTCAAGACATTGATACGTAATCTGCATGTTTCTTCACAGGATGTTACCACTGTTGACAACTGGCACAATTCAGTATTCCGTTTCGTGATGCGGCTTTGATTTACTTTCCCCTAGACCAACGAGCCACGCGATGGCTTCAGGTACACTTTATACTTATTGATCCATGGGTGTGAACAAGTTCAATGTGTGTTGAACCCCAGTTTTCGACCATTTGAAGCAGAAACAAAGGTATTGTTTATTGGCTCGGCTCGGCTCGTTGGTCTAGGGGTATGATTCTCGCTTAGGTTGCGAGAGGTCCCGGGTTCAATTTCCGGACGAGCCCAACTATCTGGATTTATACGCATCTACCGCTTGTTAATTACATGAAAGGCTTTTCTTGTTTTTAGGAAGCATTATACAACTGTAATGTGTGAGGTCGCGTTGAAACCAAACTTCTCGGAATACCAAATATCACAACTTACAAACGACATGCCAATAATTACTTGTCGAAGAAGTTATATCATAATGATTATATCGCCTCATGAAAGAGCGGTTTGAATCCAGCTGCGGATTCCAACTGGCACAATTCATTATTCCGTTTCGTGATGCGGCTTTGATTTACTTTCCCCTAGACCAACGAGCCACGCGATGGCTTCAGGTACACTTTATACCTATTGATCCATGGGTGTGAACAAGTTCAATGTGTGTTGTATCCCAGTTTTCGACCATTTAAAGTAGAAACAAAAGGTGTTGTTTAATGGTGAAATCAAGTGACATATTATAGTGCTCAAATTTGGCTTATTTACTATTTATTCACATAACTTTTACCTCAATTAACAAGATAACACACGTAACAAATATCGAGCTCTAATCATTTTGCGAAGAAAATATAATTAGGTGGTATCAGAGATTCTTAATAAGGATAAGTCTTTATGTTTCTTCTGCGTTACAGAGTGGCTCGTTGGTCTAGGGGTATGATTCTCGCTTTGGGTGCGAGAGGTCCCGGGTTCAAATCCCGGACGAGCCCGTTCTGTTTCATTTATTGGCATATATCGCAATTTATTTAATTACTGGAATTCGTTCATGATTGCAGCTTCAAAAGTCATCTAGAAGCATCTGACTTATATATGCCGAGTCACGCCGAAGCGATAACTAACAGGATACCAATTATCACAAATGACAGAAAAACAGGGCAATTATTCCCCGTTGAAAATTTTCCTACGCTGTTCATCTCGACGCCTGCTTTGAAGTTGTGATTTGCGCTGCGTCTTTATCGACTTTAACTGACGGATGGGTTGATAACAAATAGAAAAGGCATATATGTGTTCAATAATTGTTGTTAAGAACTTTACTTCAATTTCAAGACATTGATACGTAATCTGCATGTTTGTTCACAGGTTGTACCTATGTTGATAACGAACCGCAATATTTCAACCAGAGCATTTTCAAAGAAACCAAAATGTAGACGTTCTCGGAACACCAAATATCACAACTTACAAACGACATACCAATAATTACTTGTCAAAGAAGTTATATCATAATGATTATATCGCCTCATGAAAGAGCGGTTTGAATCCAGCTGCGGATTCCAACTGGCACAATTCATTATTCCGTTTCGTGATGCGGCTTTGATTTACTTTCCCCTAGACCAACGAGCCACGCGATGGCTTCAGGTACACTTTATACCTATTGATCCATGGGTGTGAACAAGTTCAATGTGTGTTGTATCCCAGTTTTCGACCATTTAAAGTAGAAACAAAAGGTGTTGTTTAATGGTGAAATCAAGTGACATATTATAGTGCTCAAATTTGGCTTATTTACTATTTATTCACATAACTTTTACCTCAATTAACAAGATAACACACGTAACAAATATCGAGCTCTAATCATTTTGCGAAGAAAATATAATTAGGTGGTATCAGAGATTCTTAATAAGGATAAGTCTTTATGTTTCTTCTACGTTACAGAGTGGCTCGTTGGTCTAGGGGTATGATTCTCGCTTTGGGTGCGAGAGGTCCCGGGTTCAAATCCCGGACGAGCCCGTTCTGTTCATTTATTGGCATATATCGCAATTTATTTAATTACTGGAATTCGTTCATGATTGCAGCTTCAAAAGTCATCTAGAACAGGGGTGTCAAACTCGCGGCCCGCGGGCCGCATGCGGCCCCAGAGAACTTCCAATGCGGCCCTCGAACGCTTAACAATTATTGTAATATTTTTTTTATCTAAATATATATATATATTACATTTTTCAAAGTGAAATTGATGCCACGTAATGGTAGGAAATGTCGCGAAATGTGGTGGGAAATGTCTGGTCCGAAAAGTCAGTCATTTGCTTGTTCACTGATCTATACATGAAATGATAAACGTAATATTTTTGCTTTACTAAAATTAATCAAACATTCTCAACGATCCAGAGTAACCGATGATCATGTGACCTCGTTAATTAGAGTTGCTACTGTAAAATCATTTCAGCCTGATATTAGTAAGCTGGTGGCACACAAGAGATGCCAAACGTCGGGACATGTGTAATAAAAAAAAACACTGAGTTTATTCTTTAGTTAGTATTTTTGTAAATTTTAAGTTTATATATTTAGATTGAGTCA